GTGAAACGACATTAATCGAATCGCATATATGCTGACAGGCAAAGAGCGGGTAATAACATGTGTCTGTCAAACAAGGTCGAACAACAGGTTACTCCGTTCCACAGTTACAATCGATGTTGCTAAAAAAGGTAAAGATAGAAGAACTAAAAGACCACCAGCCAGTAATCAAACATTCGATCCTAAAGAAGAGACGGTGATACAGACTTATAGAACTTCATCGATACCATCCGGTTATCCAGCCTGGCAGCAGCGTGGACGATGAAACAAAGCAGCAATCCTGCAACGAGGCGGCTTTTGGTCAGAGCAACCACAATGAAGACTAATGAACTGTTGGACAACGAGTACACCGCATTGTGCAAACGAATAAGATTTGGGAGGATCATGACAAATACGAAGCAAACAGAGACTGTCTTAAAAAGAAATTGCCTGAAGGCCGCGGAAAAGCGCATTCTCCTGAAAGAGCGAACTCCAGAAGCATTAAAGGAAGAAAAAAGTACAAGAACCGAGAGTCTCTATGGCATGAAGATTATCTGCATGAGATCCTACAAAATGCTCCATTCTTCGAAGGAATAGAGGTAATTCGAGAGCTGTCGCATACTGACAGGAAAACCTTTCCAGATGTCACCTGGGATGAAGTGCAGGAGGCAGTATCAAGAATGGCAGGTATCCCGTGATGGGCGGCATAAAACCAGTACATCTCAAGTCGGGAGAAGCGAACCTGTTCAAAGCCACTGCCGGAAGATTTGCAGAGTACATCAGGCTACAGAAGATGCCAGAAGCTTGGAAAAGTTCTTCGTTGATTCTTCCATTTAAGGTAACTGATGGTGAAGATCTCCAGGACTGTTGAGCGGTCACTCTAGTGTCAGAGATATACAAAGCCTTTACCCGAATCATCCTCAACCGTATCAGGAAAGATCTGACACTCTTCGCAACTGAAGAAATGCCAGAGAAGAAATTCACGTCGCTCAGCAGTTAACCGAGAGTACGATGAATACTAGTTCCCCTTCTGATACGTATTTATCCACAATAGAAAAGCGTTCGATTATATCGAACGAAACTCTATATTAAATGCCGTTCATGACTATAATAGCAACCCTGCCTTTGGTGGTCTATAACTGCGTTCTAACCCCATAACCAACATCAAACTGTTCGAGGAACTGTGTCGAATGAAAATCAGAAGGAGGAGTACGCCTCATGGACACCATCTTCCTTAAGATTATTGTGTCAACGCTGGAATCCCTCTTTCATGGACAAAATTGAGGCAACGGTATTAACTTCTACAGAGAATGGCTCACCCATCTGCTCTTTACAGACGACGCTATCATCTTTGCAAAAAATCTGGCGGAATTGCAAACAAAGACTGTGCATTCACAGACGC